CCGTTGGGTTTGGTGTGCCAGCACGGTACTTCCCATGTTCAAGAGTAGACCTGACTCACCTCCAGCTCACTTGTGATTTAGCATAGCCTATTGTTGTTGTTAGCAGAAAATATTGCATTTTTTAAACAACCCACATATAGGTGAACTAAAACATTTGCATTTCATGCAGAACATGCATATACTGTTAAATGGCTTGAACCTTTGCTCTAGTCTTGATGTCAATACATGAACATTTGCACAAGACATGGGCATGTTGAATAATGTAGGGTTTTGTTGACCTCATTAATGACCGTTAGTCGTAAAAATACACTATTTAAGAGATTAACATGAAGTTATCTGCTGATGCATGTTACCAGTTAAAGGTTTCTGATATTATTGAAATCTTTTACTTTGGAAATTCACAGTTGTTAAAGCGAAAACCAGGTCAAATTGACCTATCATTGGTGTGTGGCGATGACGTAATAGTAGGTGTGGCTCTCAGGCTTCGCATTCTTTGACATGGAAATCTTCTCCAGTCCATTTCTTCTGTTCAGTCCGTCGAGGTCAGACGTCCGCAAATAAAAACACGAACACACTGGAGCCGCAGTAGAAAATTACGCTGTTAGTCTAATTGAAAGAGACACTTTTTTTCATGATTAATAATGTAAAGCTGCTGCTTTAAAGCGATACATTGTATCAATGGTCTATAAATAAACATGAAGTGACTTGACGGGAGTGCCGAACTGCAGAGCGTGTGCAAGGATATTCACAAATGCACAGATGCTTTCTTAACTACTGTTTTTCCCTTCTGGGATTTTTGTTGGGTGTTTATTTTATTATTGAGAGGAAAGAGCACATATTTACATATTCATTTAAACATCGCTCTCATGGGTGTTGTCTGGATGTTCGCTAACCGTATATCACTGGTCAGGGATTTTAAACGTCTTTTTACTCCTAAGCGAAGAACGAAAAAGAACTCTGCAGGCTTATATTGGGCCTTTATGGTCATTGTATAAAATGGTTACCATTTTCATTTTTTTTTTTTATCAGAAAAATTCTGCACGATTTTAAGCATTCAAATGTTTATAGCTTTTCTGTAGCTCAAACTATAGAGCATGGCACTAGCAATACAAGGTCAGGGGTTTGATTTTTAGGGAAAGCAAGAACTGATCAAAATGTAAATGCATACCTTGAATGTGATTGTAAGTCGCTTTGGATAAAAGCGTCGGCCAAATACATAAGTGTAAATGTTAAACTATCAGACAAATAATTTTGTAATAAATTTTAATAAAGTGTAAATAAATGGCACTGTGTGCCATCTCAACTTAAATTATTTAATTGTAACATTTGATAGGATACAATATGCATTCAGAATGGTAACAGGGTTGAAAGTAAGAGTGTTGTCTGGTTACAGTTTACACCAAAAATCATGGACTACAAGGTTCTTAGAAAGATAAGTCTAAAATGATATTTACATAATTATCTGCTTTAATTATCAAATGTTTACTATACAAAATCATAGTAACAGGGTTGGCATTTCAGGATCGTTCCCTACTCACGGGCGTCAGTTTGGTTTGAAATGTGGTGGGGACAGAGACGCATTCGGAAGTGCATTTTCAAAAGTGCTGGGTACAAATTCTGCAGCCTGTTTAACCCGTAAATAAATGCATCGATCCGCAAATTTTTGTTTGAGTTCTTAAATGGTCTGGTGGTAGATCTTTTGCCAAGCGTGTCAGAGGTTACGGGTTCTAATCCGCCCTCGGTATCGTTTTTTTTTCTCTCAAAACTGAATAATGTTCATCAGTGGTTACAGTCTATATCAAGCAGCCAGGGACACGTTTGTGTGCATTTCATTTTGTAATTTCACCGGAATGAATATATACAGAGTCTGTCTGCAACGGCGATAGATTGAAGTGCGCGTCCGAGTGAAGACTGTGCGCGAGCCACAGAGAACACTGTATCCACGACACTGATAGCAGCGGACACGAGCGCTCAGCTTGAGTTAAAAAACAAAACATTTTAGCTAGATCTCTTATTTAAGAGCGAACTAAATGAATGCTCTGCTAGTTAACTGGAGATGTTTTATTTGTATTAGGTACATCCGACCGTGCCTCAATGTTTCCAAGAGTGGTGGGTACAAAATGACTAATGACGAAATCTGGTGGGGACGCGTACCCACCGTCCCCACCGAAATCGACGCCTATGTCCCTACTGACAAATATAACAATCCGTCAGTGACCGGTTTCACAGACAAGGCTTAAGTCTAGTCCCAGACTAAAATGCATGTTTTAACTGAAAGCAAGTTGCACTGATATATCTTAAAATATATCACTGCCATTGTTTTGTCTCAAGATACAGATCAGTAATGTTTTTTTCCAAGGGACGTTTATAAAAGCTTCTTAAATGTCCTAATTGAACAAAGTGCTAATCCTGGCTTAATCTAAGCCCTGTCTGTGAAACCCGGCCTTAAAGTGATCAAAAGAGGAGACTTTGGCTTGTTCATGAATTCACTCCCTGAAAGGATACAAATATTTAATATGGAATTATAGTTTAGTCTAACTTCAGTCTAAAAAAATAAACTGCAAGTGCTGTCAGTGGGCGAAATTCTTAGTGAATTCCCCTCTTCATTTTCTAGATTGGATATGCATATGATAAACATATTTATGGAATATTATTGGCTGTTTTAACATGGTTTTCCATTAATAATGGCCTCTTTGAGACTTGAGGCATGTAATCCTGAACAAGTTGCTGAAGAAAACAACTAAATAAACACCTGGAGCGGTAAAGCGTAGCTCTGACATCTGATCTGTCTGAGAGCGAGACTTCACAGCTTCCATGTGTCCGTGAGGGCTGAGGTAAGACAGGCAGTCTTAGAGAGATATCTCGCAATGTCCATCACTGCAGCAGTTTGTCTTCATCAATCATCTCGCTGTTTGTTGACCATAGCAACAGGATGTCACAGTTATTTTTATAGATCTTGTTATTGGGGTCTGCCCTCTCACAGTAGGAATTTCCTCAGCTCAAGGCATCATGGGAAGTGTATCTGAGTGTGCTTGTGACGTATTTGCAGGGACCATCTTTGTTCTCTCTTGGCTTGAGTTTCCAGCAATTATTATGATCAAATAAGTAAGTCACAGCATTTCGAGAATGTTAAATGGTCCTACGATGCCCAGCGATGCTTCAGTGCACAACATGTTGATGGCACACTGTAGATTGTGGCGTATCTGGTTGCTTTCTAATGAGCTGTCTTTAATTAGCAGCTTATGTTATCTGGCATTGGGTGTTGCTAGCAAACAGATGAATGGAGCTCACATCAGTGTTTTCTTGTCTGGAGACGCAGCTGAAGTTTAAGAGTCAAGGTCACGCAGACCCCTCGCCTTCATCTGTCAGCTCCTTTTGATCTGCAGACGCTTTCCTCCGTCTTTCTGCACGCTCTGCCTTTAACGCGGGGTCAGAGGTCACTGTGGGGCAAGGCCACTCTGCCAAAAACCTCCTTTTCCTCTTCTAGCTTTCCTTTCTTTCTTTGTTTGTTTCTAATATAACCCTGTGAAGTATTTGTTTTCTTTAGGGTTCAGATCTATATTCCTTTTATCAGATACATATGTCAATATACACGCTCGGCCCCTCACTCTAATCGGCAGCCCCTCAGTTGCCATGTTGAATTAATGTTTTGAACAGAAATGCAATAATGTCAAGACCTTCACGGTGGGGGTTTCAATTTGTCATATCATAAACAGGTGCTAAACAGAAGGATTAGTGGTGTTGCGATCCACGGTCTTCCCTCGGATCCTGTTATCTGGGTATTGGATCCCTGACGCGTTCTGTCAGATTGAACAACGGGGCCCTTGTGCTGGCCACGGGCGTCAGCAGGGCCCCAGACTTGGTCACAGGTCATTGATCAGTGTGACAAGAAACTCTGTCTGGTTCTGTTTAGAGGGAGGCTGCCTGGAAGCGGCCTTAGATTAGAAATGAAGAAAGGTCAAAACTAGGAGTATTATAACTGACTTGTATAGTACAGGAATGGACAGGCAGTCAGATGCTTTGGAAAGGAACACTAGTGTACTGCTTATTATTGCATATGAACAATATGCTACTATTTTCTAAATAAATATTTAGGAACTTGCCATTTCGTGCCAATTGTATGCCATTTTATAGTACAAAGAGTCTGAGAAGTGTATTATTAACACTTAAAAATTCCAACAAGGGAAAAAAGTGTCCTTCAAATACCCGTATGATATACTTATTTAGTCTGGGTGAAGAAAAGTGTTTAGACTCTGACTATCAGACTCTGATGCTGGATGATAAAATAACCTTATCAAATGTATACACTACATAATGCATAGTATAAGTGGACAGGGTATTGTACATAATTTGGGACACAAATATTGTCAAGTCATCTTTATTTATATAGCGCTTTTTACAATACAGATTGTATCAAAGCAGCTTCACAGTGATAACATGAAAATGAATACAAGAAGTTTGTTTCTAGAATAAACTTGCTTCATCGTCCACCTGAAGTAAGGCAGATCAAAAATATTATTGAATAATTAAATGTCCCCAACTAAGCAAGCCAAAAGCCAAGGCAACAGGCAATATTGTCTGTGAATTAATGTGCGATTATAAACATTTTAAATAGCAGTATGCTGCATTGTTGACATGAATTGAGCGAGCGGTGTCCAGATTTTTAGAAGTAGACTGCGAGGTAAGTACCAGTGAACTTTCTTTAAACAGGCTGGTATAAGCTATCTACAAAGAAAATATAATAAAGAAAAAAATAGTTATTTACAAGCAAGAATTATTTTGTTTTTTGCTTGACCAAATGGTATTCAAACCAATCAATTAATCTTAACTACTAAAAAATACATAGTATGTGAATAATACAGATTACTAATTTTTTTCAATTAAGTTAAGACATTAAGTAAGGTTAACTAAAAAGTGTTAGTTAGAATCACTGTTGGATTTTACAGTGTGTGAAGTCACTTTCTCAGTCATTATGGCTTGTTTGCATATCTTGTTTGCAGTCACTGTTTCATCGGGTACAGATGGAGCCCATCGAGAGGGAGTGGCTGCGGTGTGCGGCGCTGGGAAACGCTACCACCCTGTTCCTGCTTCTGCAACAGGACCCCACACTCCTCTCCAAAAAGGTGAGTCTGCACCATTGCGTTTTACTTGTAAAAATGCAAATGTTTCCATAATGTAACTAAAAATCATGATTTAATATTCTGTGTATGGTGCCAGTACTACCATTTCCTGATGACCAGTAATTTGTGGAGAGTTGCAGTGTGTTTCCTCTATTGTAAGGGTCAAGCTAATTAGGATGAGGATTACGTTACTGCATAGACCCAGAGAGTGTCTCTTTTGAAGATTTAGGGCAGGATGAAAAGACTCAGACTGGAACGGATTGTTGTTTGACCAGGAGCGTTTTGCTGCCTGATAGTGTTAGGGGAACAGAGCGGGTCTTCTTTAAAGGTGAAGAGAAAAGAAAAGAAAACACACTGACGACTTCCAGATATTGTTTGTCCCCTGGATGCAAGCGCAGCCTGTACTGGCTTAACTTCAGAAGCCTTTGGCCCCAAGGCTGTGTATTCTGCCACTTACACACACTTCCGAAACAAGGGAGATGACTGGACACAGAAAACGGAGGAGGGGGAAAAGAAGGAAGGTGGTAGACTTGTGTCTGGTTGTAAATCATCACATATGTGCCTGGCAGCAGCAGCGGTTCGCGGCTCTACGGGAGGGAGGCCCAAAACAGCGGCTCTTATTAAATTTCCATGAAGTTTAGTGAATTTACGCGTCGGAGAGGATGACAGGGAACGGCTGGCGCTGCTAGATACTTGCAGCGTTGCTGTAGAGCAACTGACAAGTACATTTACCACCTCCGTAGCTACTGCTAATGCTAATAGATTCTTATTTTACTCTACTTTTACCAGATATTAATGGATCATTCACAGAAACCGGTGTCATTTGTGATCTGAAAATATATTGGGGAAAAAGGTAATTACTTTGAAACAGTTGCTCTTGAACTTTTAAGAAAAAAAAAGAAAAAAAATTGTGTTACTAAATGCAGTCTTAAAGGAGTAGTTCACTTTTGAAAAAACTTTTGCTGATAATTTACTCACCCCCATGTCATCCAAGATGCCTATGTCTTTCTTTCCTCAGTCGAAAAGAAATTATGGTTTTTGATGAAAACATTCCAGGATTTTTCTCCATCCTTTCTCTGTTCTGTGTGACTCTCCTGTTCGAACTCGTTCATCAAAATGAACAAATCTTTTTCCGAGTCAATTCGTTCATTTCGGTCGTTAAATGAATCAAATGACTCGAAAAAAGATTTGTTCATTTTGATGAACGAGTTCGAACAGGAGAGTCACACAGAACAGAGAAAGGCGAGCATGTGAGCTTATAAAACTTAAACGTTGTTATTTATTTTTTAAATGAGCGATCGTTTCGCATGATAAGACCCTTATTCATCGTCTGGTGTCGTTTAAAGACATTTTAAGCTGCATCTGAAACTGTTATTAACTGTATTTTGGACCTTGGACCGTATGGTTCCCATTTAAGTCCATTATATGGAGAAAAATCCTGGAATGTTTTCATCAAAAACCGTAATTTCTTTTCGACTGAGGAAAGAAAGACATAGGCATCTTGGATGACATGGGGGTGAGTAAATGATCAGCAAAAGTTTTTTCAAAAGTGAACTACTCCTTTAACGCTGAAGCACTACATTATTTCAACTCTGTTAGAATAATTTTAGCATTTATTTCCATACATAACTGAGTAAATTCTGGTAGTATCACTCAGTTTGCATAAATCACACAACGGAAAATTAAATATAATAATATTATTATTAATATAATTATTTTCAAAAGACATTTTGTCAACCTTATATTTAAAATGCTCAGGATTGAAGATCAGTGCAAAAATATCTAATTACCGCCTTAGCTAACATGATTTCCATTACACGAGAGTAGATGTTAAAACTTCATGCTGATTTGTACTCGGCTTTCGCCAAGATAAGCAAAACTAAGACGTAGCTTTACAGTAAACTATGCTTCTCCATCCATTTACGCTTCTTTCCATAAGGTAGTGTGACTCCCCTTCTGTCCGGCGTTAACGGCAGCAGTGTACTTGGCGTGTTAGCGCACGCGACGGCTGCAACTACAGGACCAGCACGACAACCGTCTGGATTGAACCGAGTAGGGGACATCTCTAGGGTCTTCAAGTGGGCACCTTCCGTCCTCAGTGTTTCGTCGACTAGCCCACGACACCTCAAGAGGGCTCGACAGTGACTCTGGCGTCCCAGAGTCACCCCCCTCCGTCCCCCACTCAACTCAGCCCAGCTTACTGACCTCTACATCCCTCCTGCTGCTGAGACCTAACCACAATATCACAATCTCTCCGCGACCCAACCATACGCGCCAACCCGTTGACTAAGGCTGTCGAGCCCCACTGGTGCGTTAATATGCAGTTTCAGTGGACAACGGTTCCGTATGGCATACCACCTACCGCAAAACACAATATCTGCCCAACCACCCGTCATTCACGCAATATCCACAGGAACGTATACAAACAAACCAACAGACTCTTCAAGTTTTCAAGAACTCTACGAAACCGTAGCGTAGCGGCCTGCACACAGCCAGCTAGAATCTTTCCGTCTCAACCACAGCCAGTTGCTGCTCCTTTCTGCTGCTTCAGATAAGTTCTTTACTGTGCGACGCAACTCTTGGCCACTGAATCCGACGTCTCTGAGAAACCGGGTTGTAGAGTGTGCCACAAAACCTCGACAACCCACTTCCACTGGATAAACCTGGACTCTCCATCCTCGCTGTTCTGCTTCAGTGGCCAGATGAGCATACCGCAGTTTCTTCCTCTCATATGCCTCATCTACCGCATCCTCCCATGGCACTGTTAACTCTATCAGTTGAACAATGCGTGCTGATCCAGACCACAAAACAATATCTGGTCGTAGGTTAGTGGTGGCAATCTCAGGTGGAAAAATAAGCCGTTGGTCAAGGTCAGCCAGCATCTTCCAGTCCCTAGCAGCTTCCAGTTGTCCTGGGCGAGAATTGGTGTTAACACCTTTTCTTGGTGGTTGCTCGCCTGGGCGGAGGAATATTGTCTTCTGCGTGTAATGTTTTGCTAGAACAGGTGGCAACTTATTGGTCAATTATCATTGCACCATGACACATTACAATCAATATTCTTGTCCTTAGGGCCATACAAATATTTTTAGTAAACCACTGTTTTTTGTTTTGACAAGGCCAATATACTGAAAGTGTGTAATGAAAAACTAAACTAATTGACCCTTGTTTGAACCTTGAGGTTAAAAAAAATAGGTGACTCATTTAAATACACTGTAATTTTTAAAAAAATTATAAATACACCACATAATGGGGCTGACATTGACATGCAAGGACAAAAAAAAAAAAACACTGCCTTTTCTTGAAAATAAAATACATGAAGGGGTTTAGAAAGATTTTTTTTTTGGCAAGACAACTCATTTTACTGTAAATTTACTGAATGCCAGTGCACGGTTGCATAAAGCACCTTAAGTCAAATTTTCCCTTAAGAACACCCATAGTTTTCCTTAAGCTTAAAGGTGTTGCAAAAAATAACCCTTAAGGGTTTCTTTAGGTGAAACGTAATACACCCTAAGAATTTCCCTTAAATATCTATTTTTCACTGAAGTAATCTCTTAAATAAACTATAAGTGTTGCATAAAGCCCCTTAAATGTAATTTTCCTAAGTATAACATAAGGTTTGGAAAACTTCACCTTAAAGGTGCAATGTGTAAAAATGTGAGTATCTATTAACATAAATGCAATATGACATCAATAACTATGTGTTCAGTGGTGTATAAAGAACTTACTTAATAAACCGTAATGTTTTTATTACCTTAGAATGAGGCATTTATATCTCCATAACCGCGGGCACCCCCTTCTATGAAGGTCGCCATATTGTGACATCATGTTTCTACCGTAGCCGAGAGCGAACAAACAGCGCTACAGAGAAATAGAAGCCGCAGAAAGCTAGAAGCCAGCCATAGACACCGTGAGTAGTGACTTTTCCCTGGTCAGTGGTGTAATCCAACTAAAATATGTAGTTGGATTGTTTCATGTAACTTAAAGCTCCAGTCCGTAACTTTTCCTCTTTGTCGCCATCTCTCTGTTCGAAATCTGTAACTGCAGTGATTCGCGGAATTATCATCTTTACGTGGGTTGTAAATCGGCATGAAACAGCGCGGATGAACACAGTGCTTTGAGGCGAGTGCTGCTGTCAGTCACCGCGCTGTGTGGATACTGTCATACAGAATCACAGATTCACTTTTTGAAAGTTTGACCAACATAAGAATTTTCATAAGAAAATGTCTTCTGAACAAGTAAGTAACATCCATTTTTGTTCTGACCAACTAAGGGGGAAAAAGCATTCGACATGATAAGCTTCGTTAGATTTAATCAACGCGATTTACAGCAACCGTGCAAATTATAGCCTACTTTGTTCTCAAATTCATGTTAACAACATCACATCAGCATTGCGTGACTATTGTTAAATTTAATGTGTTTTATGGTTACCTGTGTAGTTCAGAATTCATATTCTCCATAATAGCAAAACGAGAAAGGCACAACAAAGGAAACTCCATAACTGTGTGAATTAAGAAAACGTACTGTTACACGATTGAACTATTGAAATGTCTTACTTGTTCAGCAGAAAAAAGCCGTCTCTTCTTCCGTTTTGAACCCCTTCAAAACACGGAGTTCACGCACTTTTCAAAAGCCCCGCCGATGTTTAATCCTTGTGTTCGCATGAGACGGTTTCTTTCTCTTTCTCTAGCCACCTTAAATCCGAAGTACGAAGTCTTTTGGGTTTTATAACTGCTGAATCTCCAGTTGACACTGATGATTGTTGTTTGGATCTTTCTGGATGCCATAAGTTTAATTATGGAAAGTGCTGCGAGAAAAGCCTATACATCTAAACATCTCGTCACGCGCAGTATAGCCGAAGGAGCCGAAACTCCTTCTTTATGTGTACGGGTGTGACGTCATGACGCAAAGACATGCTCGAATTTCCCGCGGAAACCCACCAGTACCACTGGAATTAAAATCATTATTACAAGCTAACCGTTTTGAATCTAGCTATGGCAAGCAGA